ATTGTTTGATGTAGGATGTTGGTACTAGCACTGATGTAAGAACACAATATAAGAAACCAAGGATGGTTGGGATGGGAGTTTTACACACTCAAAGTGGCTTCAAAATTCAAAATGTAAGTCTAACACAAACTCTCATAGTTAGGTGATTTCATTTGTCTGATTTTCTGTTGGGTTTTGGCAGCCTGGAATGTCATCTACAAACTTTAAGGATGTGAGGTCCTCGGCAGAAGTAACTGGAGATCTAGTCCATCAACCAATGCGAGGTGTTAAATGGAAAGGTAAAGAAGCTATGACATCAAGGTAGCTTCAACAATTGAGAGGCAAGAAGCTCATTCAAACAAGGTCTAGGGCTGCTAAGTTGAGCCAGGAAAGCACCACTGTAAATCAACCCAGCTGATGAAGCTATGATTTTGTTTGATGATTGTATTGCAATAGACTGCATTATGCAAAAAATGTGAAGCAACTATAGACTGCAATTCTGTATTTTGATAAGGATTTGTAGGTAGCTATAGACTGCAATTTTGTTACATTTAGTGTCTGGTTTGCTGCTGCTACAATGACAACAAATAGTTGTTTTGTTAACTCATTTTGTGACTTTTATGCAACAAATGCATATATGATGTTTTAGTGATCTATGAGTTGTACAGGTTGATAATACGTGTGTTTGCCATGAAATCAAATACTTCAGTATGCAGTATGCAGTTTATCTATGCAGTATGCAGTTTACTTTCTTTAGTATGCAGTATGCAGTTTACTTCCCAATAGTTGATCTATGCAGTTTACTTCCCAATGTAAAAACAACGCTTCTTTAGAAACAATAATTGATTAGCAAGAACTACAAATACATATTGAGATGAGAATACTACAAAATATTGAGATGACAAAACTACAAAAGGCTTACATTTAAATGAAAGTTCCATTGTAAACATACAAAATAAATCCTACAAGCAACAACTACATTCATATTGAGATGACAAAACTAGATTCACAATGGCAACCTCATTGCATCTTCTTTCAATGAGATTCCTGGATACCCACAACCAACAAGAATAATACACATCCCCAATATAATGAACCAAAGTACATTTTCCCTAGCCTTTGACTTAGCTAATTTACTCTTCCACTTCTTTTCCTTCTCTTTCATCTTCTCCATATCATCTTGCAATTTCACCAATTGAGCCTCAATCTTCTTCATCTTGTCCTCTTCTATGGTGTTTTCAACCTTTAAAGTTGTCCTCGGCTTGGCAAGATTTCAAAGCTTTCTAATTCATTCTCAAGTTCACCCATTTTGTCAAGCAATTTTGGAATAACAAATTTGGACCTAGGATCAATTTCGGAATCCTTCCAAACCCAAAAATCACAAGATCGTGGACCCTAAGATGAATAACAAAAGAAAATTAATGAATGATAATTTTTCACAACTAAATTAGTGAAAGAATTTTTATTATCATTTACCCCATAGTATGGACAAATCCAATATCTTCTTCCTGGGTTCCGAGGGGTCCAAGCTATTAACAAAGGCAGCACATAGCCATGGTTGCATCGAATTTCTCCACTTGACTCATTTTCTTCCTCTTCCGTGCAAAGCCTTGTCAAATTCAAGCCTTTTGAAGGCATTGCAACAACTACAACACAACAAGACAATATCAAAGTCAGATAATTTGCATTTGCTTTCAAAGATCGGATAATTGAATTTTAGGACAAAGGCATAACAAGACTAAAAGAAAGAAAATAGGGTTCTTAAGAAGGAGAAAGGTTAACCTTTGCCTTCAAAGATTAAAATTTCAAAAGGGCAATTTGAGGGATTTTCGGCAGAAATTAGAAGAAGAAGAAATTAGGGTTCTTCAACTGGGTTTGGTAAAATATTGGGGAAGAGGGGATTTTATCGTTGGTTGGGGTTATATTAACGTTAAACATTTATTTATTTCTATTTTTTTGGGTGTTTTCAACGATTAAAAGTAAGGACGTGCTCAATTCAGTTGTCAAACATGCGCGGCTGCCCAGGCCTTAGGAGGGAGTAAATAAATACAGTTCTTTAAACAATAGTGGGGTATTAGGACACCCGTAAAGTTTAAGTGTGTAAATGACTTTCCAGTACAAGTTGAATGGGGTCTTTATGCATTTTCTCTTAACGATACTAATGGCTAAATTTCAACTTGCAAATAATGACTTAAATATTTGCAAGTGAATTCATGAGCGAACCCAGAGATTTTGAGAATTAGGTTTAGGTTATTTTATCTCATTTGATCGAAGTATTTTTATTAAGTTAAAAAATATATGTTTTTGAATTCTTTTTCTTTTGGATAGGGCTCAATGAAGAGTACTCGTCTTTATTTAACCATCTTCTTGTGATTTAACGACTAATGGAAAATTTGGCTATCTTGCATGCCAGCTTGGAAAAATAGAATACTAAAAGGAAAAGAAAGAAATTGCGTGACCTAAAATATATTGACATGAATGTTGTGAAAGAAAAGTTAAAAGTATGGTAGGATATTAATGCTAAAATATGTATACTGCGAACTTTTTTAAAATAATATGATTAAAACGCAGAGTCGAACTTTTTGATATTTTCATTTTCTTGAATCTTTATACAGCAGATATACTTTTGTATTTTCTGCTGTTTTACTAGTACATTAAACGTAAAACAAAATTGTCCTCATGAGTAATTACTAAAAGCTTTATCTTTTCAAATAATGTGTAGTGGAAATAGGATCACCGGTATTGAACCTAAATCTATTATGCAATTATTAGGCTATTGTGATTCCGGCTAAAATACTAAGATATTTTGCATTTAGAAATCACCTAATTTGGTGGAGGGTTAGACTTTAAGCCTTACACGTTGTTGGAAATGAACGAAATAAATATACACAATGAGGAAGAAGACATATATTTTAATCCTCCTAATATGAGAGTACTTGGAATGGAGATTCTCACTCTTTCACATCTAATATATGACAAACAAAGAAGAAGGATACTCAACTTTTACGTAATTAAAGGATGCATTACCATTCAAATTGTATTATCTTGGTAATTAGGTCGCACCGTTGGAAGTTGGAACTCCATTATTTCCAAATCTATCTCTTCAAATTCACACTTAACAAAATATGGAGAAAAACCAACCTGAAGGTGGTGAATAGTGGTCAAAGAGCTGAAATTACATCTTCTGAACTAAAGCTCGGATACAATAGGCACAATAGAAGAAAAAAGCAGCCGGGAGCTATACGAAGTTCGAAGAAGGGCCGGACCACAAGGGTCTATTATACGCGGCCTAACCTGAATACAATGCGCACTTCGAGATTAAATAATTTCTTCTTATTTAACTTAAGTCTTGGTTGACTGAATAATTCAATGCTTGTGTTGGTGCGAACCTGGGAGGTAGCAAGTACGTTATGAAATAATTGAGGTGTCGCGCAACGGATTTAAGCTATATATAGTGACAGTTTTAAGATTTTTTTTTATTATCCATGAGTTATAACCTTTTGTTTTTTATCAATATTGAAATAAAGCAACAAAAGAAAACTAGCTAGAAATCAAGCGAAACCCCAACAACATCTTCCGCAATAATACTAGAAGACACAAGTGCATGTCATTCAAAATGAGGCTCTTGATATTGGCTAAACCATTATAGCCTCCTTATAGATACAAGCAATAGAGACCATCTAGTTCCTAGCCAAGAGATAATAAATGTGATTGACAACATCACTATTTCGGTAGCGCACAGACCCTCCAGGCCGTAACACATGAATCACACTAGAATTATCAATTTGCAAGGCAACCCGACACCACCCTCTGTCCCAAACTTGTTGAAGACCAGTGAGAACTCCCCATGGCTCAGCTCTAAAGGATGTACACACCCCCAATCTCAACTGAAAATTCACCAAGCCACCCACCATCAAAATCACGAAAAATACTGCTAACAATCCCCATGTACCCTCCAAAGTAAGATGAAGTTCGTGGCAATATCTCTCTAAATTTGTAAGAATTTTACTTTTACTAAATAACTAAATGAAAATTCGAATTGTTTCAAATTGACACCAGCCCCAAATATAACTTCCAAACTTTTTTAGGCATAAGTTGGTCAGAATTTATAAGAAACTCATACATCGAAACAATCGTGAAGGAGCCACTCGCACTATATTTAGAGAAAAGTTCATCCTCCCCAAGTTATTAGCTAGGAGGTGACAAATTACCAAGTAACTCCGCTATTTGTTGCAAGACATAATGAAAAAGGAGATGCAAATTTCAATTTCTATTATGCTAAATAAATTTTAGTGAAATTATCAATTTATGATTATGAAAAGATTTTTCTGTAATTATTTAATAAGTGATCTTATATAGATAATGTTTATACAACTTCAGATTGATCTGAGCACCAACAATAATAAAAAGAAAAGGAGGGTGTTTGGCTAAGCTTATAAGCTAGTTTGACCAGTTTATAACTTTTCGACTTATTTACGCGTATGGTAAAGTTAATAGTGCTCATAAGTCAAGTGCTTATAAGCAAAAAATAAGCCAAAAGTCATAAGTTGGTCACCCCAACTTATGAATTTTTAGCTTATAAGCACTTTAAGTTTAACCAAGATTTTTACTATTTTATTCCAAAAATATTCCTTTTCAAAACAAAATTCCTACGTTGATACTCACTGCCTTGCGTATTTTTTAAGTTTAAGCCAAAAGAGCTTGTCGGTACTTTTTTATTAAATACTGCAGCACCTTATTATCAATTTCAGCACTTATATTCAAATACGTAACTGTTTATTTATTAAATCAATTTCACCACTTAAAAATACTTTTCAGCACTTAATACTTATCAGCTAATTTAAATATGCTAATCCAAACGGGCTCTTGTTTGATGGCAGAGTAATACAATCTCTGGTGAAACTTAGGTAATTGTGGATTAATTTCGTTTTTCTGAACACCATCATTATTAAATAAAAATACTAATAACATGGAAAATACCTAAATACTTATTTATTACTCCTAAGTAGCAAGAAAACAGATCAGAATAGAAACCAAACTCTTTGCTGTTATACTCACGCCACTGAGGCACTACACAAACAGTTGAGAAAAATCTCTCTCTCTCTCTCTCTCTCTCCATACCTTTGTGTTTCTTATCTTTGTTTTTGCAAATGGAAGGTCCTTCTGTTATCTCAGTGACATCCAATCTTTAACTTTTCTAGTCTCTGAATTCAGGTTAACTATTCTTGATCTGGGTCACCATTTTTGTTTTCTTTCTAATTTTGCTGGTTCAAAGCTATTCTTGGTTTTTTTGAACACGCCATCAAATGGGTTTGACTGGTTTCTTCAAATGAGTCTTTTGGTGAGTTCAAGATTACTTTTTTCCACTGTCTTTTGGCTTTATATACACTTTTTAGTTCTACCACTTGTACAGAATTTGATGGCTGCTTTGTAGTTTGAATACTGCTTTAATCTTCTGGATCTAGTGTTCTCTTTGTTAATCTTTTGATTTGGACACCAGCTATTTTAGGATTGAGTTGTAGTTGTTGTATGGCTGTGTTGAAATACTTTTTGGTTCTAGCAATTTTGTTGAATTTGATTGCAGCTTTATACTTTTAACGATGCTGTTTTTTAGGATAAGGTAATAATGCTGCTTTAATCTTCTGGATCTGGTATTTGTTTGTTAATTTGAAATTTGCATGGTTTGTTATTTAGATCTTAGTTCAATTCTAAGTTAGATTTAGAATTGTGCTGTTCAGCATATGTTAGTCCATCGGATTTGAATAAAGATGCATAGTATGATATATAGGATTGGATTTGAATCAGATGAGTTTGTGGGAAGTGCCTTGACCGATAAGTATGACCATATGGAGATGCCCAATTGGTGCTTGTCAGAATGGTCAACAGAGATATTGCATCCTCGGTACGAGTGACATATGCATATTCTGACGTGGGAAAATTGAAGAATCACTTAATTTTGTTTTTAAAAAATGAGGTTAGAAGGCAAAAAGCCAAACGATTTTACGTGGAATGTGATGATCACTGGATACACTAGGAAAGGAGATTGTGAAGCTGCTATTTTGTTGTTCTCAAAATCAGTAAAGTGGGGTTGACTCCAGATTTGGTTACTTGGAATGCTATGATTTCGTGGTTGCCAAGGATCTCCTGAAGCTTTAGCATTATTTCAGGGTATGCTAGCTGCTGGAGTTAAGCCTCATGAAGTTAGTCTTACCGGGCTTCTTCCAATGTGGGGTATTTTGGCTCTGTGTGGGAATATTCATGTTCTTATTTACAGAGTGGAGCATCTTTGGTAACTGTGGTTGTTGCTAGTGCGCTTATCGGTATGTGGTTTAAATGTAGGAGCGGAAAGATGCTTGAAGTGTTTTGAATTTCCCTTGAACAGTGTTGCATCATGGAATGCAGTGATGGGATGTTTCGGGAAGCGTGGCGGGATGGAATATACAATCCAACTTTTCAAGAGAATGAAAGAGAGCTGTTAAATTTCTCTTCTTTTTGCATGTAGTCATGGTGGTTTAGTCAGGAGAGGTTTGAAGATCTTTTGATTCATGGAGAAGTCTTAGATCGAGGAAAGAGCATTATTCTAGGATTGCTTATGTCATTGATCTTTGTGTCATATTTGGAGGATGGATGAGGTTTAGGTACAATCAAACATATGCCAATGGAAGTTACAGTTTCAAATTTCTGGGGGTTCCTTCAGTGGTTGTTAAGATGGCAAAGCATATAGTGGGGATGGAGCTGAAGAATCTGAGTTTTATTGTTTTTTTTTCAGATATTTATGCTGCGGAGGGAGAACGGGAAAATGTTGAGTTTCATAAGATATGGTTCCAGTTGGCTGTAGGAGATGGATATCATGTAAAAATAGAACTAGGACTGTAAGCAACATTTGCTTTTTAACCAGGTAGATGATGGTAAGAACAATCACACGTAGTATAACCATTATTGGTCCGCTGGTGTGTTATTGCCAAAAAAATTGTTTTCTTTTGAATGTGTTCCTAAAGTTGAAATAACTAGAAGGCATCACATTCTTTCGTGAAGATATTAGAATCAGGAAATAAGATCTTGTTCCCATCATATAGTACTCAACTTAATGCTCTGAGCTGTCTGTTTTATGGGCTTCGACATTTCACATATAAATTGTCCACTGATTATGAAATATATTTGGCTACAGCATGATACTGGTGATTTTTGAATTCTTCACATAGTCCAAATAAAACAGAAAATTGATTCCTTTATAATTCTGCAGGCTTAGTTTATCTTTCTTTTTTTAATGGCTCCCAGGCACGGATTGGCTTCTAAAAAATAAAATAAAAAAATAGAAAAAGAGCATAGCTTTCTCGTAAATATATTCTTTCACTAATATTCCAGCTCCATTTCTGGCAGTGTCTAATGGTTGTCCTCTCTTGTTATTATTGATAAAACCGATCAGTTTTGTATCTTTCTCTTAGTGCTAGTCTGAAAAATGCCTTGGGTGACTCTCTTTGACAAAGGAGAGCGTATTAGATTTTGACTTGCTTATTTCTAGAGCCTTCTAGTGGTTTGGTTCCTCCCAAAAATCTCTGCAATTGTATTTGCTGATCACCTACTTGATAGTAATTGTACTTCGGTCTTTTTACTCAGAGGGCGTTCAGCTATTCTCACAGACTGGTCGTGGAGGAGGCAGATATAACTTCTAGACCCTGTTAGGAGTACTAAAGAAACATTTTAGGACCTCAACTTTTTCACAGCCTGTGCGTTCAAATTTAGATCTGCTGATGGTTCTGCATTAAGTTTGAGAAACAGCATCACTGTGTGCATCAGTGTTTAAGGTAAGATTTTGACATATCTCATTTTGCTTTTTTCTTCAAAATTGGTTTTTGATAAAAGAAAAATGTACTGTGTGTTTTTCCACTAAGAAGCTAACAGATGAAGGATAATTTTCTAGCTTCTAAAAGTTATATGAACTTAAATGTTCAGTGGTATATTTTTCTCTTGTCCAATTTGGAATAGCTTATCAATCAGTTGGCAACTTCCTCAAAACTTAGAACTTGCCTTGATAATGGATGCCACGATTTCTTGCCTTATCACACAATTTATGTCCTCTAACTCTAAGTCAGAACTCAGAACCTCCTTATATATTCTCATACAGTTACATTATCTGAGTTGTAACATGGCATTTGATACAATCAAGAGCATGATCACCTCAATTGCATAATTTTGCTTTCTCTTTTGTAATGTGTAAGATTTTCTTGCCTCCTCTTACCATGTATTACCTGTAAAAACAAAAGAAAAATGAGACTTTGCGTTTGCTTAATGGTTGATGACATGTCATGAAAGTGTTGTACAGTATTTTGTTCTACGGAAAAGGGCTAAATGTGTCCCTCTACTATCAGAAATTAGTTATAAGTAACCTCCGTTATACTTTCCTTCACTATTCACCCCTACCGTTACCCATTTTAATATTTTTGCCCCTATAACTAACGGACCAATTCATAAAAACATGTGTCAACATCTTAAACAACCTAACTATTTTTCCTCTAACCCACCTAATCATTTTCCCTCTAACCCACCTGTTCAGCCCCAAACCCGAAAAGCCCCCAATCATTCAACAATCACAGAATCATTTCGCGAATTTAGGCATTGATTAGTACTATTCGAACAAGATTCACAACAGATTTTAAAAAATTCTTATCACAAAATACAGTTCTTTTCAATTTTCCTTAGCTTCAATTTCACCATCTCACAATTGTGATAAATTCAATAGCTTCCTAGCATCTGCCACCGTCAATTTGCTCTCTAGCGCCTATTTCAGCCGTAATTCTTTTGGCGGCAATAGCCCGTCGAGTTTGATCTTGCTTCTGCTGATGTCCATTTCATATAGTTTCTCGATGAGCTTTTCGCCGGAGGGTAGTGATTTGAGATCTGGGAGGTCACCGGAAATGGGTAGCAGTGGAGGAATCACCGGAAAGTTCCGTGGTCAGTGATCTGGAGTACTACTTTTGATGAATTAAATGGAAGAGACACAATCATGGGAAACCATACAATTACAAAGCAATCTTCTATTCGGGGAGGAGGGTGGGGATGTGGTGGTGGAAAATTTTGTTTTACCTTACTCTTTCGAGTCTAATAAAATCTGGTAGTCTGCTTGTACTGGATATGCTTTTACATTTGCTACCAAAAAAAGAAACAAAAAAATACTCATGCTGGTAGTTGGAGGTTAAAGCTTCAATCTCAAATTCTTTCCTCTATACAATACATTGCCTTTCTTTGCTTGTGCTGAAATTTGTTAAAATGGAATTTGAAGGCAGTTAGAGGCGCCGGCGGAATCAGAGAAGAGGGAGGCGATTGACGTTGTTGGACCTTTCTTGGTGTTGCTGAATTGGGGCTGTCGGGTCGGGCTGATTAGGTGAGGTAGATGGGTAGATGGTTATGTTGTTTCAGATCGTGCCACGTGTCTTCCTAAAAGGATCCGTTAGTTGTAGGGGCAAAAATATTAAAATGGGTAACTGTAGGGGTGAATAGTGAAGGAAAGTATAACGGAGGTTACTTATAACTAATTTCCCATAGTAAAGGGACAGATCTGGCCCTTTTCCGTTTGTTCTATTACCTGGATTAAATTGAATGTCCTACCATTTGATTGTCTTTTTTTGGCCTTCCATTAGAAACCTCCTCTGCTAAAGGTTTCGTTTGTTTAGCAGGTATTTCAAGTGCAACTTTGCTGAAGTCACAGGTCCTTAAGCCATGGTTCGAGGTAGAGGGAAAGGGAAGAAACTGACTGTGAGTGACCATGATGATCCAGGAAGTGACGAGGAAGAGAAAATCCCTGCACAGAAGAGACGGGGAAGGCCACAAAAGTTGCTTAAAGATGACACTGACGAAGAAGTAGCTGAAATAATAGAAGAGGATGCCGAGGATGAAAAAAATGGAATTCCAAACTTAGAGATAAAAAGTTCTACTGCATTGGAGAACGGAAAGAAGAGGAAACGGAATACGCGGTTGAAGAAAAAACATGATTCAGCAGAAGAGGAAAATGGTAATGGAACCAGATCAAGCACTGATGAGTCTACTCGATCCAATGGTTTTCGTCATAATAGGCATAGGCGGAAAAACAAGCCTCGCCGTGCTGCAGAAGCTGGTGTTGAGTGCAAATGAAATGGATTTTGTTCCCTTTATGATGACAGATGCCTCCTTTTACCTTGTAAATTCCGCTTAAATTTCCTCAGCATTTTCTTTATTGCTTCTCAGTTTGGTGATTTGTTATATTGACATTTCTTGACATTGTAGAGGGTCTTGAGAGTGGAAAATTAATTATACCACGTGCATTTTAAGCCTTAATAATACGTTTGTTGATAATTCATACTAGAAATGTTCAAGCTAAAGCCTCCCTTTTAATTTTTGTGCGGTTCTTGGCTTTTGAAGAGCAGCTACTAGGGAGAGACCACTCTAGTGAAGGTTGTGTGTGCATTTCAGCAACCATCAAAGGCGCGGTGGGATGGCTGGTATCTTCCATCTTTAACTTCTGAGTCTTGAAAATGAAGAATCTCTTGGTTGTTTTATCAAGATGTGTTGCTTCTTGAAGAAATGTCTTTTTATTTTTTGGTGCAAAGGATAACATTCTATTAAAACATATTAGTAATAGTACAAGTAGTTGTAGTCAACCTATTTAATGTCCTAGGGGGGCGACCTCGCGATGGGTCATAACAAAAAGGGGCATCTGGGCAAAAACTACTTCTAGTACGGCCTATATTAGTAATATTACATAGAGGGTGTAAAAGAGGTATTTGCTAATGGTATGAAGGTGGAAGAGTTGGTAGATCCACTCGTTTGACAAAAAGCTTGCCTATGGTGGTTGTGTATATACAATGAGTCCTACGGTGCTCTCGAATTGGCTACCAAACTTTGCAAGTAAATCAACAACTTGATTTTGTTCCCTGTAGGTGTAAAGTATAGCCGGATCATCCAATTGTGCGATTAGAAACCTACAATCATTAATGATGTTAGTATATAGCGGATGCGATGTCTGTAGGAAATTAATTATATTCTAGGCATCTACGTTCACTTCTATTGGTTTGTATCCGTGTATAAAAGCTAATTTCAACCCATGATAAAGTGCAAATAGTTCCGATTCCACGCTCCCGTGAGAGAAATGGTAACCCGCAAAACCCATAATCCAAGTATCAGATGAGTCACAGATTACACCACCAATTCCACCTTGTCTTGATGATAACTGAGCGGAACACCTTGTCCTGATGATAACTGAGCGGAACCGTCTGTATTGAGTTTAAAGGGGTGGAGCTAGGAGGATGCCATTTGATATAAAGTGGTATACGGTCATGGGAGGATGGTGGTGTAACATTAAGATAGTAGTATTCGGTGGCCATATTCAAAATATGGGATGAAGAGGGTGGAGTAGATTGGGCGCAAAATAGTTTTTCATTTCGAGATAGCCATATATGCCATAAGCAAAAAGGAATGAAAATGGAGTTGGGGACATTAAGTGAGTTGGGAACGTCATTGTGTAAAATGAGTTGTTTCAGCCACTGAATAGGGGTGTTCTCATCAGCCAGGCTATTGGGTAAATTGACCTGTTAATTTGGTGGCTCTAAGTAACCAGCTACATCATTAGTTTCTTGATGGGATCATCTGTGCTTTACATCGGACGGAAATGCAGTTCGAAGTGCTCTATTTGGATGCGGAACTCAGCAAAAAAGTAGGACAAATTGCTCACGCTGGGCTACCTCTGGTTCATATTATGTGTCTTTGAAAAACTGGGAGAAATTCAAAAAATAGCCAGATTTACAACTGGTCGATAAAAAATAGCCCAACTTCAAAAGTAATCGAAATTTAGCCACTTTTCATGTAAAGATAAATCTAAGCAAAAACACTGTTCAAAACCCGGAAAACACGCCAGTATATTATGCTGGAGTTCCAGCATAAGTATACTTGAACTCCAGCATATTATACTGGAGTTCCAGGATAAGTATATTGGAACTCCAGCATAATATGATGGAGTTCCAGCATAAGTATACTTGAACTCCAGCATATTATACTGGAGTTCCAGGATAAGTATATTGGAACTCCAGCATAATATGATGGAGTTCCAGCATAAGTATACTTGAACTCCAGCATATTATACTGGAGTTCCAGGATAAGTATATTGGAACTCCAGCATAATATGATGGAGTTCCAGCATAAGTACACTAGAACTACAACATAATCTACTGGAGTTCCAGCAAGTATACCGGTCCAGCATAATATACTGGAGTTTGGAGCACTGGTGCTCCGGTCTCCAGTATATTATACTGGAGCCAGCAAAGTATACCGGTCCAGCATATACACAGGTTCACCGAACTCCATTATATTATGCTGGATCGGTCTCTGTTGCAGCAAAATAGTGGCTATTTTTTATTGACTTGGTAAATGCTGGCTATTTTTGAATGACCGGTCCAAAAACTGGCTATACCGTGCTATTTTTACTGAAAAACTATCACTTATGTCAACCCATAAGCAAATTAATACAAAAATTAGCTAATTTATAAAATATTATTAATATTAATTTTCTTTTGAGTGGGTGTTGTTAGAATAAATTGAGTATATTTTAAGGAGTTTGAATCTCAATTTTGGGATGATTTGGNATATATATATATATATATATATATATATATATTGTATCGCACATGTATCGTATGTGTATCACATGTATATCTGTGTGTGAGATACATGTTTGATACATGTGAATTTTTTTAACTTGATTTAACTACAAATTTTGATATCAAATCAGTCCAAATCACCTCCAATATTTCTCAAATTTATATATTGACTCATCTATATGTTTTCAGTAAATTTCAACTGTACACATTGAAAAAAATTCCTTTTTGCTTAGATTTTTGGAATGTTGTATATATTTTTTTCTTTGTGTTTCATCACCTTATTTGCTACCTCATCCATGAAATTTCCTTTTCGTCTTGCATTTAATGTTATTGATCATGTTTAAAAATATGGAAGGAGATTTTTCCATGTAATTTGGAGAGAAATAATTCTTATTTATTTGGGTATTCAATTTTTGTATGTGTTTATCTAATTTTGTTAAATTTATGATTAATTGTTAGAGGTTAGTAAGTTTGAGCTTATTTTGGACATTTCCGTACGATTCTATTTGTCTTTTAAGAATTTTGTACACCCGTTGAGATGATACTTAATATTTTTAACCTTAAAGATTATCTGTCTAAAATATCATTTCACTCTCTTTTGAACTATTACCTCATTAACATTCTAACAAGAGCATCAAGGATGAATTTGAAAAAGGGTAATAAATGCTCTTGCTATTAGTACTCCTTTTGGTCATTCTAACTCTTCTAGATAGGCAAATAAGGTCGTGGTTAGAATGAAATAATGGACATAATTGTGTGTAAATTATTCTCTCTGTTCACTTTTACTTGTTCGGTATTTTAAAAATAGATTATCATTTTTACTTGTCACTTTTACCATATCAAGAGAAGATAATGTTTTTCTGTTATACTCACAATATTAATTACTCATTTCGAATTATTTTCTCAAATTCATTAAAAATATGCGTCAATTAATATGGGTAGCATGGTAAATTATGTACTTCATTTATTATTTTTTCAGGGGATTTTTACATATCTATACACTATTAAAAATTTTATTACCCTCCCTACGCAAGTTTCACTTTAATTACCTCTTATATACAAAATCACCAATTATGTACATTTTTAGGATTTAAGGATAATTAATCAATTCCTACAATCATTGTAACGTACAAATTCCACTCCCTCACGTTTCTCTCTCCGTATCCCACTCCCCCCCTATGTTTCTCTCTCCACAGCCCTCCTCCCCCACGTATCTTGCACAAGAGAGCAGCAATTTCATCATTGACAACCATTAAAAAGCTTTGAAGCTTTGAATTCGAATTTGGGTTTTCAAAAAATATTATTTGTTTGAATTGGGTGTTGTTGCAAAGAATTGGAATTTTCTCTACGTCTCTCTATCTCTAAATCTCTAATTTCAGTAATGTAAAGCTAAGAAAAAGAGAGCAGCAATTCCACCATTGACAGTCATTAAAAAGCTTTGAAGCTTTGAATTCGAATTTGGGATTTTAAAAACCATTATTTGTTTGGATTGGGGTGTTGTTGCAAATAATTGGAAATATCGTTTGGAGTTTATATCTCAATTTTGAGGGTGTTTTGGTAAAGATTAGATTTGATTTTGGCTGAATTTTAAATTGAAACTCGTAGAAGAAGAAGAAGAAGAAGAAGAAGAAGAAGAAGAAGAAGAAGAAGAAGAAGAAGAAGAAGAAGAAGAAGAAGAAGAAGAAGAAGAAGAAGAAGAGACATACATTATACTGCAGAAATTGTAGTAAAGTTGTAGTAAAATTGTAGAAAAATTGTATTCTGTTATTTATATATATATTTTTATTTAAATATTGTATGAAACTTGAACAATATTGTATAAAAATTATATTTAAGTTGTATGATATTGTAGTTATATATAACTGGGTAGAAATAATGTGTGAAAGTTGTGAATAAGTTGTAGATAAGTTGTATAATATATAATTAGTTGTATGAAATTTGTTTTTACTATATATATAAATTGGATACAAAATATACAAAAGACATTGTATAAAATTTGTATAAAAATTATATTTAAGTTGTATGATATTGTAGTTATATATAACTGGGTAGAAATAATGTGTGAAAGTTGTGAATAAGTTGTAGATAAGTTGTATAATATATAATTAGTTGTATGAAATTTGTTTTTACTATATATATAAATTGGATACAAAATATACAAAAGACATTGTATAAAATTTGTATAAAAATTATTTTTAAGTGGTATGATATTGTAGTTGTATATAACTTGTTATAAATAATGTATAAAAGTTGTAGATAAATTGTAGATAAGTTGTATAATATATAATTGTTATGTATATATTATACTTTTATTTTTTCCATTAACTTCAACCAAATATTGTCCAAATGCATGAGTATCCTTGCACCATTAACCTTTGATTAGCCTATTTTCATCTGATTTCATGACATCAAATCCTCCAAGATTTTGGATTATTTAGGCGACACTTTAGAATATTGTGAAAGGAGTCTGAATGTGTTTACAGGAAATTCTTAAGTATTACATAACTTCTCTGTATTTGATATGAAAGGATCCCTTGGTTTAGAGGTTATATATTTTCCATCTTGATCATATACACAGCTTGTTTAACCTGTTCCTTTTCGTTCAGAATTCCTAAAACGGTTGGTATAGCTATTCCATTGAAGGTTACTTTCTTCATTATCTACACAATGGTTGATGGTTGGGCTAAAATTACTGCAGAGATTCTTA